AGTGAAAGGACCGTTAACAAAATGTTGTTGGTCACCAAAAGCGGAAGTGATGGAATCCGTAATCGGTTTCTTCAATCGATCAATCAATGCCTCTTTCTACTGCGTATCTCTGGATATAGATTTTTATGAAAACATGACCTCAAAAACGTGAATTAAAAGTGAACGGAAAAAAAGAACCAACTGGAGTGAAAAAAATATCATTTAAAATTTGTCTACTTTACTTGGAGAATGATAATTAGAGATATAGATGGATGAAGCCGAGGTTGCTTGCGGGCGAGGTCCTATACAGGTGTCCCATATCTTCCGCATCAGAGCATTATACGGTTGTAGGATACATTATTCTGAAGCGATCTTTACGAGACACCTGTATATCTTGTAAAGACAAAGATTAAAGAGTAAACAAGATGCGACGCTTCATGTCGGCACCTTTGAAGTAGGGCTGCCATTTTTTATGACCTTGAACGCTATGGACCTTTAAATTGGAATGGTTTGTTATTGTTAGGACATTTAAATTGGTCTTCTATCTTTTTTCAAAAATAGAGTTTCTCACTCTAGCGTAGCATCTTGTATACAGGGTGCCCATTAAGTATGGAATATAGTATATATCTTGGTAGGTATCAACTTTATAAAAAAACATTTTATACAAAAGTTGTTTAATATTTTATTTGCCATAATAAGACAGCATTCAATTGTTTTTATTTCAGAAAACAAATGAGCAACGAATAACACTTGAAGTTTTTTAAATGGCAATGTACCCTTTCGTTAGGCTCATTTGATAGAGATTTCTTTTCTCTTTACGATGACGTAAAATTTTAGTACAATTATATCAGAAAATTTTTGAAAAAATGTAAAAATTGCTTATTAAGAAAATTTAATAACAGTAATCTTGATATCCGAGATCGTCAAATACCTCGAACTACCTCGAATTATTGGAGATGTACACTAATTTTTCGTTTATTTGTTTTATTTTGCACGTAAATTTAATTTACGGTAATAATTTGAGATCTCGGGTATCTAGATTAATGTTATTGATTTATTTTTATTAATAAACAATTTTAACATTTTTTTCAAAAATTTTCTAACGTAAGGGTACAAAAATTTTACGCCATCGTAAAGAGAAAA